CAGAAATACGGTCTTGCTGGGCTCCTGATGTTTGCCCAGCCCCGGTTGAGGTGACTCTTCCATTTCTGGAGCGCGTGGATCTCATTTTAGCAGTAATCTCGTTCCCACAGACGGCGCCAATTGAAGAGGTGATTTTTGGTGGGTAGTTGAACCGACCAGAATCAGGCTCCTCTGAGATGAAGTGAGGTGTATCCTCGTGTCCGAAGTGAATGGCGGGGCTTCACCCCTGGGATCACTCCGACGATCAAGTTAGTATGAGAACGAGAGAAAAGCAGTAGTATTGTCAAATGAACAGTATGCTTACTTGTTGGGAGTGTGTGGGGTATTTATAGAGTGGGAGTGGAGGTCAGGACGGAGGGTTCATGCTGGTGGGACCCATGTCCTGACATTACGGCTCTGTTCCCTGCCAGGAGGCCTGACTCTGACACTGTAGCCGCCTGGGCTGGATGACGGGGGTCCTGCGCAGTAGTCATTAAGATCACCCAGTGCTTTTCAGATAAAGTACTGGTCCTGGGTGTTGTCAGGGGTGTTGACATCATCAGCGTCCAGCCGAGGTGGTAGCCAGGGGTGCAGAGGTCATCCAAGTAGGAGACCATGGACCGAGCCGAGCTCAGGGTCCGGATCGGGGGATGACTGTGTTCGTGTAGGAGACGAAACGAGGTCACCTCGGCAACAAGGTACTGCCGAGGTGAGCACCCTCAACTCCCAAACTTCTCAAAAGTAAAAGAAAAATTCTACTGTTTTTAGACTTTTATGAGGACTTAGATTAGAAGATTGGCCTTCTCTTTATCAATCCTATTGTAGAAATGAAAACTCAGATTTTATTGTTAGACATGATTAACTACTTCATAAGAACATAACAAGTAATCAAAACTCGATTGCCTTCATTTTTTTTTTTTGGAAAAAGTATATTGCTCGAGGTTTTCAATCCAGGCACTAAGGTGTCACATTCGTTTGCCAGAAGTAGGTGATCCCTCTTATAGTTGTGTCTCATCATTCATACCTGTTTTTTTCAATTTTACTTTTTGAGAAAGAGAAAAATGCAATTTTAGTACTTAAACTTTGACACATGAGCGGTTTTAATCCTCAAATTTTGGACAAAAACAAATATAGTACCCGATTTTTCAATTATTGAGCACATTTAGTATCCTTGCAGGATATTTCTCAAATTACTACTGAAAAAAATTACGTGATAGTCATATGTCAGGCAACTATAGTATAAAAAAATGTAAAATATTCTTTTGGCACTAAGTGTCACACAAAATATCCTTTTGATATTAAGTATTAAGTTTAAGGACTAATAATTTTATCAAGTAAAATATCTTTCTGACACTAAGTATTAAGTTTAAGAACTAATAAATTATCAAAATGATATTTACATTTTTTGGCAATTTTTTATTAATAATTACTGGACATGTGACTATCACATGACTTTTTCAAGTAGCAATTTGAGAAAAAATCGTCAAGAGTACTAAATGTGCCCTAAAGTTGAAAGTTTAGATACCAAATTTGTTTTCATCCAAACTTTGGGGATTAAAACTGTTCATCTGTCAAAATTTGAATACCAAAATTGCATTTTTCTCTTTTGAGAAATGCTTGCGAAAGGTGAAGGCTTCTGTTTCATTTTTCACAGAATTAAGATTCGTAATTAATTGGGGGAACATGGAACAACATAAAATCAAGCAGGTGTAGAAGGATCTTTTGGAACTACAAATTTGCAGAAGGTTACCTTGATATGATAGCCCTCACTCACAACGTGCACTTTTATCGTTTACAAATCTGTACTCCTTTCTTAGTCATCACATTGAGGAAAGAAAAATAGGCAAGAATAAAAATGAAATGCCCTGTTTTAAACACAATTGTCTTTTATGGTCTTAAATTCTATTTCTTTTAGCGGCGCGTTAAATTTCAACCACCAAAAAATTCAAGTTCATACAACTAACCACCCAAAAAAAAAAAAAGATCAAAAGTGAGAAGAACAACCGAAGTGTAACTTCACAGGTGAAAAAAGGAGGAGGTCACTATAAAGGTGCAAAACTTGTTTCTTTGAATACTTTAATCAGTTGCAGTAAACCCCTAAAAAAGAGTTGGATAGTTGCTATAGTATTGGGTTACCCCTGAAGGAGTCGTTTACTCACCTTTCAATTCTTTCTGCATGCCATCAAACCCTCAAGGACTACGGACTGATGATGATGAATCAATCAGAAAAAAACCCTCATCAGCATCTGAATAGCAAGAAAATCATTCACCAGATACCATTACCCTCTTCTTTTACTAGTTCAGAATCAGCAGCTGAAATCCCAGATATTCCTAATGAATTCATTATTGAAATACTCTAATGTCTTCCAATCAAATCTCTGTTGAGATTCAAGTGCATTTCAAAATCTTGGCTTTCTTTAATTTATAGCCGGGATTTCATTAATACCTATCTGGCAAAATCTTCCAACAATGACGAGCACACTCATCATAGACTCACTTTTCGTACCATGGACTCGTCCCTGTCCAAGGGTTACTTTAGGTTCAAGCAGGTTTTACTGCACCATGCATTACATGCACAAATGACTGAAGCAACGGACATGGATAATTCCTTCGGACGCAATAAAGATTTCTTTGTGGAACCTAATCCTAGAATGTTGACATTGTTGGTTCTTGTAATGGTTTGGTTTGTGTAAATGCACATGGAGGAACTTTTTTGCGGAACCCATCCTTAAGAAAATCAAGAACGTTGCCAAGTTTCAATCCTAATTCCAAAGAAAACTGGGATTCACTTCATGGGTTTTGGTACGACGAGTCCAATGACGATTACAAAGATTCTTGGACTAAAGTGGCTTCAGTTCCTAAAATGGATGACCCTAACTATACTTTGGGCATACCAATGTTCGTATTGAATGATGGTGAAATGTTGTGTCTCTATGGGAATGGCACAGGATTGGCATTTTACAATCCAAAACATAACTCAGTCATAAATATTCAGATTACAAACTTGGATAGTATTTTGCAAGTGAAAACTCTATTGAAAGCTTGGTTTTTCCTAATCCTGATAGAGTAGAAAGGTCCAGGGCATGAAATGTAAGAGAGCTCAATTTCATATTCTGCAGCATCACTATTAACTTGTAAGTCATGAATCTCCTACCGGTCTTGTTATTTTCTGCTACATAACTTGTAAGAGGTGATTTTCCGCCTCTCTGCTTAAGTACATTGACTCTTCATTCTTAACGGTTCTAAGTTATTGGTTGATTTATAAAGACCAAATGGAACATATTGGTAGTATAAATTGAACTTTTACTGCTGAAGGGGAGTTTCTATTGGCTAAGTAGTCCATTCAGTTTTTCATGCTAAAGTTTAGGTCAACTGAAACACCATACTGATACAAAATTTTTCCATTGAGCTATGCAAAAAAGCATATGCTGATACTGGAAAATCTTCAAAGAGGTTACATAGTGATATAATTTGGAGTGAAATCAACTATTAGACAGAAGTGAAAAAGAAAAATTGCATGTGCCTTTAGTCTTTCTTCTCCTAAGAATTTTTTGTTTTCCTCTCTTCCAAGCGTCTGCAGCAAGCCAGAGGACTTATGCTGGAGATTTTCTTATCCTCATTTTCTATATAATTGTTGTCAAATTCCTGTAATTCTTTAAGAAATAAAATCCGTTCTGCAGGTGAGTTCACTTGTCTGCCTAGCAGAATAGATTGATGGAAAAAGCTGTCCTTGCAAATTCTTACATACACTTGATATCAGGTCAAGAAAATTGGTTTAGTTTCCAGTTGTCCCTTCAAGTTGGATGTTGTTTACCATAAATCAGTTCTCCATTACAATGTTTACCAGTTCTTTTTATCTCTTACCAAGTTATCTCAGTAGTAATTTTAGATGCTTCTTCATGTCTGGTATTAGATCAATGAGCAATATTTTATCTTTCTGCCTGCACAATGGAGATCTTTGTCGCTTTACTTGATTCTGCATGATGTTTGCCATGTAACAATTGGCACAAGTTTTTGGTTTTGAAAATGGTAAACTGATGTAGAATGAAATTGATACGAGCTATGTCTTTTGAATAGGACAAGTTGAGACCTTGAGATTGTCAGAGTTTGGAGGACTGCCGATTTGTTTAGTTCCTCAGATATAAAGACCAGGTAGCACAATTGTACCATGTTCGAGGCTTTGCAGTTCCCCCTGATTCTTGCATTAGTCATATCAGATCTGTCAAAATCTTCATCAAGTTTTATCAGTCTGCTATATTGAGAAGAATCAAAGTTGTGATGATTAACAAGGATCCTGACAAGTTACAAAATTCTATGACTTCTTTTTATGTGCCTAAGATGTTGTCAAATTTACTGGTTTGATGGTCATATTTAGATCAGCTATTGATTTGTGAAATTAAGTGGCTTTTATTACCTTGCAATACATAAATCTTTTTATTGATGGAGGAATTGTGAAGGACAGTATCATTCAGTGCTAATTCAGGAATGAATATGTTAAATATGATTTTCTCAAACATCATGTGTTGATTTGTGCAATTAAGTAGCATTTATTACCTCTCGATACATAAACTTTTTTATTGATGGAGGAGTTGTGAAGGACAGTATCATTTAGTGCTAATTCAGGAATGAATATGTTAAATATGACGATAAGTTAAAGGAATATTCAATATGTTAAAGGAATGAATATGTTAAATATGACTATCATTTAGTGCTAATTCAAACAACTATAAAGGAATATTCTGGCATACCTTTGATGCTATCTGTATCTAAACCAAACCAACAATCTATTTGGACGGTGTCCAAATGACAGTTAGTGATGATTAAAACTAAACAAATATTGCAGAAATCACAGTCAAACCTAGTTGAATTGCTTATGTTGTTTGAAACTTTTTGAAGTCTATCGTCAATGAGAACAAGATGATAAGTTTGTCAAGATCTGGCCCAGAATTCCAAAGTTCAATACTAGCATAAAGTTGTAATATCTCTTTCTCCAAGACATCAAGCTTCAAAAGTAACAGAATATGGAAGCCCAACCAGATGCAGAAACTGATTATCATCAGCCACACAAGAGAAAAAATTGCACCCCCCAAATGGATTGTCCATCTTCTTCTTCTGTTTCAGACCCAGCAGTGGAAATCCCAAACATCCCTGAAGAACTGATTATTGAAATCCTGTCAAGGCTTCCAGTCAAACCCCTGCTGAGATTCAGGTGTGTTTCAAAATCTTGGAATTCTTTAATCTCAAGCCCATCATTGATCAAAACCCATCGGACAAAATGTTCAAAGAACCATGATTATACTCACCATAGGCTCATTTTTCATACTTTCGAAAAGTGTCAAATGACAGGCTTAAGTTTAACTTGAAGCTGTGTCCTCTCCATGCTGCAATATATCAGCATGATGATGATGCACCTGCCACTCATGTAACCATCATGGATGATGACTTTCTTGTTAATTCCCTGGGAAATAACCATGATTTTAACCGTGAAATAGTTATGGCAGATTTTGATGATGGTTACGACCACAAAGTATTTTTACTTGGTTCCTGCAATGGACTGCTTTGTGTTTGTGTATTTGGAGACATTTTTCTGTGGAATCCATCTATTAGGAAATCCAAGAAATTACCTGGCTTCAGTCCTAAATCAGGGACTGCTGCTGCTATGTTATACGGTTTTGGATATGATGAGTCTAATGATGATTACAAAGTATATAGAATTTTGGGAAGTAATCAGACATGGGTGGATGTGTATAGCCAAAACATGAACTCTTGGGGAAGAATTGATGAATTTAAGGGTGTGTTGATTAATCAAGGGGTTTATTTTGTGAGTGGAAAGCTCCATTGGAGTGTAGGTAGTACAGGGGGGAAAATTGTTACTCTTGATTTGACGGATGGGATGCATGGAGAGGTGGAACAGCCAAAATATGGAGAGCATCATGTTGGTTGGAATTTGGAAGTGTTAGGAGGATGCCTTGCAGTATTTTATTATCATCAAAATGGCCATGTGGATCTTTGGATTATGCAGGAGTATGGTGTGAAAGAGTCTTGGACTAAAGTGGTTCTGATGATTAATTATCCTTACTCTAGCTTTCAAATGTTCCAGAAGCCAGTTTTTCTACTTAAGGACGGTGAGATATTGTTTCAATTTGGAGATGGCTTAGTGCTTTACTATCCAAAGCGCAAGTCATGCACATATCCTCGTATTGCTAATGTGAAAGCTCTCTTGGAAGTGGATGTTTATGCTGAAAGCTTAGTGTTGCTTAATGACCATGACGGAGTTGAAATTGCCTAAGCCAAGAACTGTAAGAAGAATTGAATATTATCGATTATTGTGTTACTTGTAAGTGCTGATTTCTTTCCTTTCTTATTCAATTGTATCAGCTTTCAGTCCTAATGATCTGAAATGTTTGTTCATGATTGAAGCCAAATGTCAATATATTTGTAAACTATAGATCAGGAGTCAAGTGAGTATATGTGTTCCTGTATATTCTTTCACTGCCTAGGGAGATTTACTGCTAGTTATACAGTGTATTCAGGTCTAGTGTTCTAATCCCTTAAATTTCAGTGTCCTTGCTCTTCATTCTTTTCAGAATAAAGAAGAAAGAAACGCAACCTTTTTAACTTGGGTTGCTTATGGGACCTGAACAAATTTCAATCATGTACTCGGTTCCTCTATGGTAGAGCTGTGCTAGTGTCCCTGAATATCACCATTACCAATTTCATGTGCCCTTAGCACTAATATACATCTTGAGTCTGTCTACTATAAAAACCACAGCATGATACTCAACAAGATCTTGACAATCATTTTTCTGTTTTGCGGTTTGGAAATTGGGAGCTGGATGGTAATGGAATTAGAGCTAGTATTACTGCTTTTTCTAGTGCTTTAGGTGTTTAATTCCCATTACTAGCATAAGGCTTCTTGTGTTTGATTGGATGGCTTCTGAGGACTCGAATCAAGTCATTTAGTCTGCAGATGGTGCTAATCATTTGGTGCTTAATGTTCATTTCTGGAAGCTGGGGCTGATATATGCACAATGGACCATTTTCCCGCAGGGAAACTGGAGTTAGAGATCGTAGCCTGGGTAGAGAAGCCTTGTTTGGGAATGTTTTGTATCAATAAACTAATGCTTTTGGTCATGTGATTGCTAGCTTTTCGAGTAAAAACTTCTGTACCTTTGTTTTGAAGTAGGTGGTGCTTGTGAATCTGCGATCGGCCTAATAAACATCGTAGATTAGTTGTTGGGAGTTTATTAAGTTTTTTACATGTTCTTCTTGGTTTTGTTTGATTCATGTTTGTCAGGAATCATTCCACTTCGCATCCTTAAAGTTTATGTCATATCCACTTGCACTTAAAATTCATAATTTGGACATGGTTCAAACATATTGAACTTTGGCCAATTAGTTAATGCTGCAATCATTTTGAGTGGTAAAGTCCTTTCGCCTCAACAATCATAAGGTCAAAAACAATATATTTGGTGCTCAAACTATGATTTTATTGAGTTCGGAAAGTGCCAGAAATACACCTGTAGCTGTACCGTGCTAGTGGGAAATATGCTTGGGTGTTGTAGTAATAGCTCTACTCAAGTCCCAGAATACAGCATCTAAAGAACCAGGTAAGAAGCAGACCATACGAGGCATTTTAACGTTCAGAAAACATGAGGCACTTTATCAAAAGAGTGTACTGCAACGAAATTTTGCTGTCAATTTTTCATGGAAGTGAAATGCACCAGGAGGCAATTTGTGTTTGTGTCTTTTCTGCATATGATTACTTGATTAGGTACTTGTCAGAGTTCCTTCCACCAACACCTGCAAAGGAATCTACAAATAGTTACTGATACAACAAAAAGAACCAACAAACAACAACTTCTAGCAGATAAAAAAGTAGAAAACATGAAAACTAAAAATAAGAAAGACACTATATATTCCCCTTTATTAGTTTGATGGCTTAAGCATTACAATAGAACTATGAAAAAAGAGAGAGTTAAGATTTCAGTGGCAATGAAATACTGGAGTAGAGATGATTATCTGGTCTGATTTACTACATAGCTATGACATAAACAGCTTAGAGGATTTTGTTGAGATGCCTTGATTTTATTTCGGGTCTTGTTTTGGGCCTATTTCTGGGTCCAGTCCGTTTGGTTGTATATATATACACATTATTTTTAGTCTGTAAACTATTCTGATTATAACCCTAATAAAATCTGATTTCCCCCAAGTTGTTCTTGTCTGTTCTTGTTTGTTCTTCTGTTTCCGCTGCATCTGTTATAACAAACTGGTATCAGAGCTCTAGGTTTGTCCTAGGGCTCGGTTCACGCAACAACATGTCTGCTTTGAACATCAAGATCGACAAGTTCACCGGGAGAAATAGTTTCAGTTTATGGCAGATCAAGATGCGGGCTCTGTTAAAGCAACAGGGTCTATGGAGTCCGCTGACGAAGAAGAAATCGGATTCCGTTGATGAAGAGTCGATGAGTCTGGAGGAAAAGGCTCACTCGACAATCATGCTATGCCTGGCAGATGATGTCATCACTGAGGTCGCCGGTGAAGAAACTGCTGCGGGTTTGTGGGTTAAACTTGAAAGTCTCTATATGACGAAGTCTTTAACCAACAAGTTGCTCCTAAAGCAACGTATGTTCGGTCTGCGTATGCAGGAAGGTACTCCTCTTCGAGAACATTTAGATCAATTAAATACAATTCTTCTTGAGTTGCGTAATATTGATGTTAAAATCGAGGATGAGGATGCCGCGTTGATTCTGTTAGTGTCTCTACCGTTATCGTATGAGAATTTTGTTCAGTCTTTTATTGGCGGTAAAGATACAGTGACTTTAGAAGAAGTAAGATCAGCACTGCATAGTAGAGAGTTGCGCCATAAGGCGGCTGGTAATGTTACAGATAATCAGGCTGCTGGGCTAGTTGTCAGCAGTGGTAAAGGAAAATTGGGAAAAAAAAAGTCCGGAAACAAGAAGCAGTTTTCTAAAGGTCCCAAGCCGGATGATGTCTGTAACTACTGCAAGGAAAAGGGTCATTGGAAATCTGATTGTCCTAAGAAGAAGAAGCAGCAGGAAAAACAACACGCTTCAGCTTCAGTTGCCGAAAAGGAAGCAGAAAATTCAGAAGAAGACTTGGCCCTAATTGCAAACGAACCAACACATCACTCTGATGTGTGGGTTCTTGATTCTGGGGCGTCCTATCACATATGTCCAAACAGGGAATGGTTTACAACATATGAGCAGATAGATGGCGGAAATGTCGTGATGGCTAATAGCGCTGTCTGCAAGGCTGTTGGGATTGGTTCCATTAAGATCAGGACACATGCTGGGAAAATTGCCACACTGAACGAAGTCAGGCACGTCCCCAAAATGACGAAGAATCTGATATCACTTAGTACTCTTGACAGTAAGGGTTTCAGGTTCAGCGAAGGAAGTGGAGAGTTGTGCATCAGTAAAGGTTCATTAGTGGTCCTCAAAGGAATTAAGCATGGCACCCTGTACATCTTACAGGGTTCTACGCTAACAGGTTCTGCCGCTGCTGCTGTTGCATCTTCTGAAGATCGCAGGTCTGATATGACCAAGCTGTGGCATATTAGGCTTGGTCATATGAGCGAAAAGGGGATGCAGATTCTGTCTAAACGTGATCTTCTAGAAGGCCACAAGGTCACTGATCTTGGATTCTGTGAACATTGTACTTTCGGTAAACTACATCGCAGAAAGTTTGGGAAGGCAATTCCCAGGACAAAAGGCACACTTGATTACATCCATTCTGACTGTTGGGGTCCTTCACGAGTTGAGTCTTTGGGAGGCTGTCGGTATTTTCTATCCATGATTGATGATTATTCAAGGATGACTTGGGTAATCGTTATGAAGGAAAAAGGTGAAGTTTTCAAGAATTTCAAGCAGTGGAAGGCCTTAGTGGAGAATCAAACTGGAAAGAAGATCAAAAGGCTGCGAACTGATAATGGTCTGGAATTCTGTTCAAAGGAGTTCGATGAGTTCTGCAAAGATGAAGGAATTGCTCGGCATCACACAGTTCGACACACACCACAACAAAATGGTGTAGCAGAACGCATGAATCAGACACTTCTAGAGAGAGCACGGTGTATGCTCTTCAATGCTGGGTTGCCAAGGAGGTTCTGGGCAGAAGCAGTGAGCACAGCCTGTTTCTTGATCAATCGTGCACCTCATACAGGTATAGACTGCAAGATACCTTATGAAGTGTGGTCTGGTATGTCTCCTTCTTACTCAAATTTGAAGGCTTTTGGTTGTACTGCGTATTATCATGTCAGTGAGGGCAAACTAGAACCAAGGGCTAAAAAGGGAGTGTTTCTGGGATATGGAGACGGGATTAAAGGGTATAGAATCTGGTCACCCTCAGAAAAGAAAGTTATACTTAGCAGAAGTGTAATTTTTGATGAAAACTCTATACTTAACCCCCTTGTGAAGACTATTGTTGAAGAAAGTGCAGGTGTTGATAAACAGGTGGAGCTAGAAATCATTCAAAATGGTTTTGAATCACAACATCAATTTGATGATCATCAACAGCTATCCTTTGAAACTGAACCTCCTGCAGAAGTAGAGTCTCCAGAACCTACATCAGCAGAAAGGTTGGCACCTATATCCCATACTGCGTCAGAAACTCAGCAGCACGGTATTGCTTATGATCGTGCGAGGAGAGTGGGAGTACAAGCTCCCAGCAGGTATCGGGATTTTGTGTGTTATGCATTTCAGGTTGCTGAGGAGGTGGATTCTCCTGAGCCCTCTACCTATAGAGAAGCCATTTCAGGCAGTGAGTCAGCTCAATGGCTTGCTGCAATGGGTGATGAAATGGAGTTGTTACATAAGAACGGCACTTGGGAATTGGTCAAACGGCCAGCAGAGAGAAAGGTTGTGACTTGCAAATGGGTCTTTAAAAGGAAGGAAGGAATTTCTCCAGCTGAGGGCATCAAGTATAAAGCACGTGTTGTGGCAAGAGGGTTCACTCAAAGAGAAGGAGTAGACTACAATGAGATTTTCTCACCAGTGGTCAGACACACTTCTATCAAGGTGCTTCTAGCAATGGTTGCACATCAGGACTTAAAACTTGAGCAACTAGACGTGAAGACAGCTTTCTTACATGGAGAGTTAGATGAAGAGATTTATATGACTCAGCCAGATGGATTCCATGTTCCGGGAAAAGAAGACTATGTATGCAAGTTGAAGAAATCCTTGTATGGATTAAAGCAGTCCCCAAGGCAGTGGTACAAAAGATTTGATGGCTACATGATTGAGTTAGGCTACAACAGAAGTCAGTATGATTGTTGTGTATATCACAACAAACTTGAAGATGGTTCGATGATCTATTTGATTCTGTATGTAGATGATATGCTCATAGCTGCGAGGAACAAAGCTGATATACAGAAGTTGAAAAGTCTTCTCAGTGCAGAGTTTGAGATGAAAGACTTGGGTGCAGCACAGAAAATTTTGGGAATGGAGATTTTCAGGGATAGAAGTCAGAAGAAGCTTTTCTTATCACAGAAGAGCTATATTGAGAAGGTACTATCCAGATTTGGCATGTCTACAGCAAAGCCCTTGAATACTCCTAGTGCAGCGAATGCTCAACTATCAGTTACACTCGCACCACAGTCAGAAGCCGAGATAGAGTATATGGCTAAGGTTCCCTATTCTAGTGCAGTGGGTAGTTTGATGTATGCCATGGTCTGCACTAGACCTGATCTGGCACATGCAGTCAGTGTTGTTAGCAGATTTATGGCTAATCCTGGGAAGGAGCACTGGCTGGCCGTGAAGCGAATTTTTCGGTACTTGAGGGGTACATCTGATGTTGGTCTCATCTATGGAGGTGATATAGAGTGTTTGGTTACAAGCTATTCAGATTCTGATTATGCTGGAGATGTTGATAGTAGGAGGTCAATGACTGGTTATGTTTTTACTCTTGGGCATTCTGTAGTTAGTTGGAAAGCAACTCTACAACCTACAGTGACTCTGTCCACTACTGAGGCAGAGTATATGGCATTGACGGAGGCTGCTAAGGAGGGAATTTGGTTAAAGGGGCTAGTTGGAGATCTTGGCCTACATCAGGATCAGGCTAATATATACTGTGATAGTCTCAGTGCAATATGTCTAGCCAAGGATCAAGTTCATCATGAGAGGACTAAACACATTGATGTCCGATATCACTTCTTGAGATCTGAGGCAAGGATCAAGGTGAAGAAAATTGGCACTGCTGACAATCCTGCTGATATGTTCACCAAACCGGTTCCTCATAGCAAGTTCAAACATTGTTTGGATTTGCTAAATGTCCTAAGTTTCTGATGGCCCTTATGGGCATTCTGATGGTACTTAGAGATAATTCTCTGAGTACTTCTGGCACTTCATTAGTGCATCTGTTACATTCTTTCGGGGAAGATTCAAGTCAAGGTGGAGATTGTTGAGATGCCTTGAATTAGATCTTCAACCCCCGCTGAGCTGTACGGGGGCCTATTTCTGGGTCCAGTCCGTTTGGTTGTATATATATACACATTATTTTTAGTCTGTAAACTATTCTGATTACAACCCTAATAAAATCTGATTTCCCCCAAGTTGTTCTTGTCTGTTCTTGTTTGTTCTTCTGTTTCCGCTGCATCTGTTATAACAGATTTGTTTGAATAAACGACTAGTCAATTGACATAAATTTACAACTAATAGGGCCTAAAAAGAGATTATTCATCGAGTATAGCTCTCTCAGATGAGATACTAAATATAGTAAAATCAATCTTTAGGAGAACAGAATCGAATTACTAATGCTTTTGACCCGGTAAATGATTCAATTGTCTTGAGTTATTGCATTTCCTTGGAACTTTTGCTATATTCAGTAAGTTGAAGATCATGCTAGAATTGCACGTTTTTTCTGGGAAACGAGAACAAGAAGAACGACATGAGGAAGAGGCCAAACTATAAGTACTTAAGAAATAATTAAGGAGGGATGAAACTTTTATTGGAAACAATCGCGAGCTCAATGGCCAGAGCAGTCAATATCCCAGATGAGGTAATTTTATCTGATGTAGTAATCTAAGATAGTCCTGTATTACACGTCTGACAATAATGTGTAGCTGACTTCAGTATAAGTTCAAGAAAGATGTTTCTTTCAGTGTATATTTCTTCTTATTGTTCTAAAATCAAGGTTGTGATGTTTTTGATGTCCAATTGACAATGGTAACATTGTGTCTCTTTGGAGTAAGGCAAACCTATGCAGATTGAGGAAGAGAAAAGCAGAAGGAAAAGATGTACCTGAATCCTAAACACGAACTGTTACCCTTAACTAAAATTGGCATGTCTCAGTAACTTCTTCAAATCTTGTATCTCCTTTTGTCGGATAGCTTGTGAAGGAAGTCCTTTAGCTAATGACGAATATGAAATGGTAACACATTCCTCAGGAGATGTGAAATCTTGTGCTTGACTTAAAATGTGCATTATTGTCTGATAAGATTAAGCATGATTGTCACAGAGATCCTCTTATTCTCACAGGGGAAAAATGACCGCGATGAGTGCTTTTGTTATCCTTGTGAGTTGTGAGGAAAGAAGAAAAAATTTATGTGGTGCTAGCTGAAAATTCAGCGCTTATTTTACAGTAGTTTGGTTTCAGAACTAGTTGAAGATCCTGAAAAAGGTCTTTTTCAATCTGAATCTGATTACAATGAAAATCTTCTGAATCTCATTAATTAGGCAATCTTAGAATTTGGCAAGTAAGCTTGATTTTTAGAATACTAGGGATACCGTACGTGCATTGAACGTGGTTGGATGATATGTAGTTATATCATTTTGTTTTGTTTTTATAATGAGTTTACCTTTGTAATGTAGAGTTGGGAATAGAAGCAAAGGTGGGAATTGCATGTTACAAAATTTTGTAAAGTAAGCAATTCAAAGTAATCTTATTGAATGTAAGATGAAGAAAAAGAGAAGATATTAAACGTGAAATAGTAATCATTAGTGTTTTAATCTTTCTCGACTTTTATCTCCTTTTTCAATTGAGTTTTGAGCTTGGATGCATTACTTCTTGCTCCCCTTTTTTTGGTTTTGAAGGACTGTAGTGGAACATCATCGTCAATTTTAATCACCTTTGAATTTTTGTCTTTTATTATGCTTTGCCGAGCATGTTGTTTAGATGTAATAGATGGAGTGGCATTTTCTTGTTTGGTGTATTTGGTAGTTGCTCGAATGCTATTGCCACCATTGATAGATGTCCATGAGAGGAGTGCCCGATCTTATTAAGCTTGATGAGGAATTTGAACTCCTTATGCTTTGCGGCAATCATTTTCTTATACAACTTTGATTTCTCCTTGTCCTGTTGGGTTTTCAGTATTTGTAAATCAGATAGGTTTAAATTGAATGCTTAACTAATAAGAGTTGATGTGTTTATTATTTTAATAATTTTTAGGAACTTACCTTGAAAGATGTAGTGCTATCTATGTATTCTTGTATTGGGCATCCAATAAAATTACTTGCCAAGTCCTCAAATAATATTATTGTTGTTACATCTTGTCCATCGACGACTTCCATCCTTATATTGTACCTATTTTGGAAATGATATTAAGTTGTTAACTGTGCTTTTCAAGTTTGCCTTTTTAAAGTCTAGCTTTCATGTCACGTATTTAATTGAGTGACTTACCTTGATGTAAAATCTTTTGTTGGATGATTGCATTTGGGGCATTCTGCATCTTCTTCGAAGTTGATAATTTTGGTGCTACATCCTTTACAAGCATTATAGTATAGTTCGACTTTGTTCTCTATATTATTAACAATTGCGTTGGAAGTGTAGAAAGCATGCTGCAAAAAGCATTTATTTGTTATTGTTTTTATGATGTTTGGCTTTTTTTTTCAAGGAATTTTCTAAATTGAAGATTTATGAGACGATAAATTTACCTCTTTCAATGAATGTTGTTGATGAATAATATTTTTGAGTTGAATATGCTCGGCCAAGTCCATCTTGTTCTTCAAGGTTGCGGCTTCAATATTTTCACTTTTCTTTGTAGTAATCCTATATCAATTTTCAGTATTGTAATTCAAGGCATTCAATTTGTATAAAAAAAAGTCTAAAAAAATTTGTATTCATACCACTTTTGAAGTTTCAAAACTTCTTTGCAATTTGGATTGACTTTTAGAGTTGACATGAATGTTGTTGACAGTTGAAACTCTCCTAGAATATTTTAAAATGTCAAGTTGTAATTATAATATTATTTTATTTTTACTATTGATATTTTTACCTTGGTATTCAGACATTTGGATTTGTATTGCTGCAATTGCTGGTTTTTGAGATGCAACTTGTTGCAGAAATTGACCTTCATTAATTACCATATCTCCCTATAAGATGATTTTCATAGTGGCAAACCTATAGTGTCAGGATAATTTTTATATTTTAATATAAAAATGTTAGGCATAAAGTAATGATTGCTAACTTGTGAAATAGGAAAAGTATTAGGTGGCTCAATTATGAACACTCTACATATAAAGGAAAAAGTGATGCTAGATGTATGTTTTTTTTCATACTTGGAGCTTCAAACATTTATATAGTAAGAAAGCAAGCTAAAAAGTAATCTTACTTTTTGTTTATTATGGTGATTTCTCTCTTTTGAGTGTATCTACCTTGTCTTTTTGGAAGTACCAATATTTGAGCCACATTTGTAACAACTCACTCCAATGACATCTGTAGAAAATAAGTTTATTTTGAATGTAAATAAGTACAACAATTCAGCCTAACAGTGTAGAAAATTGTTAGAAGTTTTGCACAAGAAATTTGATTGATTTTGGAAGAAAATGTTACCTATTCGTTTGTTGATAAAGTCTGGTTTTTTTGCCTCTTCAAACTCGATAGGTGCATAGATAATGTTCCTTGTTGGTACATGAGAATGGTCTTCTTTGATGTGAGTGTAATTTCGTAGGACCAATTCAATCTCATTGTTGACATTTGCATACGAAGTGTTTGTTTTATTCACACTTCCATTTGAAAGTAAGTACAACTTATTGTATTGAAAATTATTTCGAAATCTTGTGATGATTTCATCAAACATGATAGCTTGAATTTTTGTTCCCTGTAAATTTATTAAAATGTAAATAAGAAATGGTAATAAATTGCAAAATATAAATAAAAATTAATAGATGAACATGAAAGTATATATTTTCTCACTTCATCATGGACCAAAATTAAATTTTGCAAAGTTGAAGAAGAAGCAGAAAAAGGAATAAATATAGTGGTGATTTGATTATTGGTCACCATAGTAAATAGACAGAATATTAGAGTTTTTTTGTAATTTTTTTAAAAAAAATTAGGAGTAAGCTTGACATGTTCACTTTTTTAAAAAATCATTTTCTAGCCAATCAGTTAATTTTAAAATTTGAAAAAACCTAATACAAAAGCAAAAAAAGAAATAATAGTAACTTGGTCCTGGAAATGGGAATAAATTACAAAATATAAATATAAATTAAGAGATGAACATAAAAATATATATATCTTCTCACCTCATCATCAACAAAAATCAATTTCTGCAAAGTTCCAGATTTCTGTTTTTCAACATAATGCTCGATATTAAATTTTCATAATAGTAAAACTCGAATTGTCCAAATCTTTTCGTTTGGCTTCAGTGAACCAATGAAACGGTTCTCTTGTATTGCCATGATACCTAAAAATATGAGCGAAAAAAACTCGAAACTGGTAGATTAGTAAAATGAAATGTGAAAATACAAGTATAGTAAGGGTTTTAAGTATAAATATAATACGTAAAAGGGTATTTGAGAAAGTAAATTAATGGTAATAAAAAAGGAAAGAAAACAAGGATAGCAGATCGCAGATGTGGCAATGTTTTCCTAACATCTACATGTAAAACCAGACAATTTCTGCTTTCCTTTCCACCTCCTCCCTCTCCTGCCCAACTCTCTCTCTCTATATTTTTTTTTGGCAAAATCAAACTATTCTATTTGTGTGTGTTGATCGATGAATTTGTATTGCATGGTTGTATTGAAGGGAATGTAAAGAGGTTTCACCAAGTTTGAGAAAGGTATGTGTATTGCACATACCTATAATACTTCTTTTGCTCTTCTTCTGTTTCTTTTCTCTTTTTTTTTGTGTCTAAGGGTGTTGGAAATTGGGTGTAGAACTTAGAAAAGATGCGATATTTATATAAATGTAATGTTGTTTTCTATGTTATATGAATTAATTTTTTCAGTTTCTGTGATTAATTCGTTGTTTAGCTTCATATGATTTTAAGATTGTATTTAAGTTTTGGTAGGGGTTTTCAGTTTTTGTTTTTTAGCTATTAATGATTGGTGTAAATGATTCGTAGTGGTATTTCAGTTGATGTTAATGATTCATAGCATTATTTCAGTTTTAGATTTTCTGTAACCTGACTGTTCAGTTTTTAATTTTTATAATGATTGTAGGGGTTGCATGATTGCAAGCCATAATTTTGAAAACTGAAAAGGTGCAACCCGCATTAGGTCAGGAGTAGTACATAGCACACCCTGATGGTGAGACTATGTTAGATGAAATTCAACTCTTTAAAGATGCAAGATAGGTTTCAGCTCAGGAAGCTATCTAGAGAATTTTTGAATTCAATCTTAATGAGATATCCCCAGCCGTCATCAATTTGCAAGTGCATCTCCCTGGAAATAATGCGCGACTTATTGAAAGAATCAAAATAAAAAAAATCTTTTCCAATGGTTAATTTTATTGGAATGTTATTCTTATCTTCTTGGTTCATTTGCTATTCATTTTATGTCATTTTATGAATCGTTTTCCCCTTTTTTTTTGGTTTTTCTTGTTTTAAGGGTTGCTATTAATGCACTATCACTTACATCTATATCCTGGATGCTATTTTTTTTGTGGAAAGTGGTTTCATGTCCCGAGAATATGCAATGGATGACATTTTCAGTATTAAATATGATATTTTTAGTTTTGGCGTTCTAGTCACTTGTGACCCTTTGTCTTACCTTGGGTGTAATAATTAAACTTTAACCCACAATTAAGATTATATGAAACCTTAACAACAAATTTAAAAAGGCATAATTGGAATAACAAAATTTCTAGTCACTTGTGACCCTTACCTGGGTACAATAATTAAACTTTAACCCACAATTAAGATTAAATGAAGCCTTAACAACAAATTTAAAAGGGCATAATTGGAATAACGGAAATTAATATCAAAATACTGCTTACACTCACACTCCAAAGTAGACTCGTGGTACTTTTTATACACTGTCACTTACAACTATATCCTGGATGCTTTTTTTTTTTGGCAGTGGTTTCATGTCCCGAGAATATGCAATGGATGACATTTTCTCTATTAAATATGACGTTTTTAGTTTTGGAGTTCTAGTCACTTGTGACCCTTTTTCTTACCTTGGGCACAATAATTAAACTTTAACCCATAATTAAGATTATATGAAGCCTTAACAACAAATTTAAAAGGGCATAATTGAAATAACATAAGTTCTAGTCACTTGTGACCCTTTGTCTTACCTTGGGTGCAATAATTAAACTTTAATCCACAACTAAGATTAAATGAAGCCTTAATAGCAAATTTAAAAGGGCATAATTGGAATAATAGAAACTAAGATCAAAATACTGCTTACACTCGCACTCCAAAGTAGACTCATGGTACTTTTTTGGAGAATTTTTTGGGCAGTGGTTTCATGTCCCGAGAATATGCAATGGATGGCATCTTCTCTATTAAATATGATATTTTTAGTTTTGGAGTTCTAGTCACTTGTAACCCTTTGTCTTACCTTGGGCATAATAATTAAACTTTAACCCATAATTAAGATTATATGAAGCCTTAGCAACAAATTTAAAATGGCATAATTGAAATAACAGAAGTTCTAGTCACTTGTGACTCTTTGTCTTGCCTTGGATGCAATAATTAAACTTTAATCCACAATTAAGATTAAATGAAGCCTTAATAACAAATTTAAAAGGGCATAATTGGAATAACAGAAACTAAGATCAAAATGCTGCTTACACTAGCACTCCAAAGTAGACTCATGGTACTTTTTATATAGTAATGATTAGGCACTATAGAGAAGATGGTCAATGTAGATTCCCTGGCTAGAATTCTTGGAACTGGCATTTGATTGAATATTCTACAGTTTACCCTCTTTATTTTTAGGTAAAATGGAAGGCATGTATAAAAAATCCAAGCACATATCCTCTCTGTTTATACTCCTCACAAAACATTTGGCTGAGCCTTTCGGCTGCTTTATTATGTTTTAATTTTTTAGGTGGGCATTTTTCCCCATCATTGACATAAACAGAAAATGGCGTCTAAATATAAAAGGCATGAAGCAACAAGGTTGATCAATTATGCGAGTAAATCCAATGAACTTTTTGTTTGGTAAGAGGTCCTTGTGATTATAGAAAAAGAGAGAAGGAAAAACAGGATTACATCAAAAATCATGTGCAATTATCTAAAGATTTAAAAAACTTCCTCTTCACTTTTGACATCAGCTCACACGCTAGCTTTAAGTCTTTCACCATGCATGGTGGGTTGACATAATTTTTCTTTGACAAATGACAAATGAACAACTTTTGTTTTCACCACTGATTCCATACAAAAAACAATTCCATTTATGGCAATATGGTTGCTGGTGTCACAACTTGTCTTACATATTGTTTTGTTTCTCTTTAAACCCATGACAAATTGTCATTTGGGTCCACGTATTTGTTAGGCATATCTCATTTAGAGTCTGAGTTAAAACTTGTAGATTCTGTTGACAGTGAATACAAGAATGCTAGGATGACAAAATACTAAGCCAAATGCTTGTATAAATGACTGAAGCCTACAGTTGAGGCTTCAAATGTCGTTGTATAAGTTAAGCTTGATTTAGACCTGTAAAAGATATGGATAACCATCAATTGGCTGTAGATGGTGATTGTTTGAAAGAACTGAAGGCTTTTGATGATACAAAATCCGGTGTGAAAGGTCTTGTTGATGGAGGTATTGCTAGTGTTCCCAAAATCTTCATTCTCCCACCTGAGGATCAGCTCGTTATGGGGATAAACATTGGCCATCTCCATGTACAACTTCCAGTCATAGATCTCAGTGAAATAAAAACTGAAGATAAAAGAAAAAGCATAGATGATGAAACAAGGCGAGCATCGGAGGAATGGGGATTTTTCCATGTACTTAATCATGGAATTCCTCGAAGTGTTTTGGATGGAATGATAGAAGGAACCCGCAAGTTCCATGAGCATGATGCTCAGCTTAAGCATCAAATATTGTTCTCGTGATTGGACGAGAATCGTGGGACGAGATTCATGGCCAAGATTTGGCACAAAAAAAAATGTAAGGTTTAGATTTCATCTT